CCCCCCGTGAACAGTGGAAGTTGAAAGCCCAGAAGATGACAAAAAACCTCCAGGATCGCTGGCCAAACTGGCCCAGAGAAAAATGGCTTCCTGACCCCAAAGTAGTGATCAGCGTTTCCTTGGGCGTGTGAGAAAGGACCACAAGAACTAAGTACTGATGCAACCCTCCCTCTCACGATCTGCCTAAGTTCACAGAATCCGCATTGCTGTCAGGTGGCCATGTGGCCTCTGTTTAAAAACCTCCAAAGGAGAGCCCACCATCTCCCAAGGAAGCCTGTTCCACTGAGGAACCACTCTGTTAGGAAGTTCTTCCTAATGTTTAGCTGAAAACTCTTCTGATTTTCAACTCTTGATGTTTTGAACATCAAGTTTCATTGTGGATATGCAAGCTACTGTGAGTTGCATACACTGGATGTTGACGCCCATCCATGTGTTCCAATGGACCAAGAGTGCAGAACTGCATATATGGAAAAGATATGCATAAGGGCATTGAGGACCCATTTTCCTGATGATCTCCAGCTGCACATGAATAATGCCAAGCTGTTCAGCTACCACCTTTGATGGAAGAACCCTCTGCCTCTTTCCATGGCCGTCCACAGAGTCCACATACACTCAGAAGACATTGTGTCGTGTGTTGCTACTCAACGTATGGCCATCAATGAGGAGGCAGAAAGAGCTCACTTATGCCCTCTGGGGTTCTCCTTCCATTCATATGGAAAGCGATGCATCTTGCTAAATATCTGGATTGGATATTTACTATAAAGTACAAATCAGTTTTAAAAGACCTCGTATTGTAAGTGCTGTTAACACATCTGGGTATCATTTTCCATTATTTAAAATACACCAGACAGAATCCAGCCCATGTGCTACTTATTGGTATGAAGTGATCTCTTGAATAAAACATGCCTTCGATTTGAAAATGAGGAGGAAACGTGTGGTGCATTTCACACGGCTCTCTGCTTAATAAATACACAAAGTTCTCCATGCGCAGGAAGGAAGACTTGATCAGGGAAGGGAGAAAAGGGTCTGGAGATGCCTTCCCATGAATAGGTAAAGGTGAAGGTTTCCCTTGCTCAAAAGCCAGTCGAATCCAACTCTAGGGAGCAGTGCTCATCCCTGTTTCCAAGCCGAAGAGCCAGCGCTGTCCAAAGACTTTTTCCATGGTCATGTGGCCGGTATGACTAGATGCCGAGGCGCACGGAACACTGTTACCTTCTCACCCAAGTGGTACCTATTTATCTACTTGCAATTTCTTGCTTTCTAACTGCTAGGTTGGCAGGAGCTAGAACCAGAGACGGGAGCTCACTCCATCATGTGGCACTTGGGTATTGAACTGCTGAACTACCGACCTTCCAGCCTGCAGTTCAGCATCTTAACCACTGAACCACCGTGGCCTTTCCTTATCACTCCTTTCCATATTACAGGAGATGGATGCTAGGAGGAACAGGGTTGTCCTCATCATTGTTAACTCTGAGGACAAAGGCCATGTAATTGCTTATTAAAACTGTAAGTAGAGGTAGTCTATAATCATGCTTTTTTGTGAATTATGCTTTAATTCAAAGTTATTATTTCATCTTGCTTATTTTACTCTGTCAAAGAGCCTGTTCCTGGTGGACGGGGGTGTGGCAAACCTCTCCAGGGGCTCCCTCCCACCACAGAGGGAGAAAACCAGCATCAGGAGTATGAACAAGCAAGAGACTCCCTCAAATCATTATCTGCAAGTAGCATTAGCCTCAACTTTTACATCACGTATGCCATTCCAGTAAAACTATGGAAAAAATAGGCAAGCAAATACATACGAGGAATCCCTACTTGTTGTTTTCTTATTGCTGGACCAATGTTCAGTTTCTTATCTTTATAATTTAGCTTCTCAGCCTAAACCAAAACAAGAAAAATGCATACAATTATTTTTTTCTTGTATTTTTCATTTTTAAGAGAAAGTCTTCAGCAACTGAATGTGGCAGTTTGGACAACTTTCAGATCTGTCATCCCACCTCAGATTCAAGCAAAGTTTGACTTAAGTGCTTTGCTCAGTACCAAGCAATTACATTCAGATTTATGATCTGTGCAGATATTTGTCCAAACAATGGATCTATTTAGACTTCTAACTAGTTATGGTAATTTTGAGAATTCTTAATTCAAACTGTGCAGACACGCTTTTTAAAAAATAAACCAAATAATATTTGTCAGACTATATTTTCGATGTTGCAATGCTCACTATTTTCATACATACCTTTGGCAACAATACTATCTGTAGTATATAGAAATGGATAACATTTACACCTGTATGGTCTATATATATGTCACCTATGGTTAAAAATATAAAACATTAACAAAAAGCCATTTCTAGGAAACAAAACGCACACCGTAAACAGTGCCTCATGGAGCTCATCATGTATAGGCTTGTTATGCAATGCTACAGGAAGAGATACCATGTTGAAAATTCATTCTTGCTGTCCATAAAATACCAAAAGCAAATCTCGAGGGATATTATTATGTATTTTTATCAGCATGTTTTTACACATACATAATATCATTTTACCTCTTGGAGAATCTTTTGCGCATCTTCCTGAGTTTCAAATGTGATGAAACCATACCTAGGCAAGACAGTGTTGGTTATTTTTCTTACCCTGCATTATATACCATTTAAATACATTTATTCAAATGGATCCTAGTCTTTAATTTTTTGAATCATGCATTGTTCTGGATGTGCCTTAGGGCCTTTTTTGAATCATGCATTGTTCTGGATGTGCCTTAGGGCCAAACTTCAGGATACACTAAAAACCAGATCTTTAAATTTCTCTTTAAATTTCTATAAACAGCAGCCACAGGATGTAACTCAAATGGACTGGGACCATTGTGTGTGTGTGTGGGGGCTATTTACCCTGCTAATGTGAGCAGCTATACATTTTCTGTGTTAAGACAAACATCAAGTCCAGAGAAGTGATTTATACTGGAATAACAACAATGGGACTACAATTAAATTAAGGCAGGGGTGTGGAACTCATTTGTTATGAGGGCCGGGTCTGACATAAATGAGACCTTGTTGGGCCGGGCCATGTGTCTCATAAAATGTAATGCCAGGTAGCAGAGGTATAAACTTTACAAAGGACACAAACACAAAGGTTTTTTTTAACTTAAAATAAAAACATGCTTAAAACATTAGCTCTGTAAGCTGCAAACCTACTTTTGATTTATTGACATTCACCACAGAAATCTCATGCTCAGAGTTCTGAATCTAGGACCCAGGTCAAAACATGAAATGGCTGAGTGATTAAGAGAGTCTGGCGAAGCAAACTGTGATGCCGCAGCAGAACTGGAAGCAGGAGATGGCCAGTTCCACTGAGGGCCTGATGGAAGCCCTCAGGGGGCCTAATCCGGCCCCCGAGCCGCATGTTTGACACCCCTGAATTAAGGACTTTAATGGTAAAAAGCAGTACCGTGAACTGAACCCAGAAACAAACCAGCAACCAAGGAATTAGTTTCTAGTTGGAAGTAATATGCAAAACAGATAGCTCCAAGCAATAGTTGAACTGCCTCATTTTGGCCCAACTAGGTTGTCTTCAAGGGCAAAATAACTTTCCTGCTAGATTAAGCTGGGAAAAAAGCACTCGGCCATCACAGCAACTTGATTTTCCAATAAAGAGGGCTGGGTCCAGCACAACTCCCAAGGTCTTCACTGAGTGTGTCAAAGAAGGACTTCGTTTATTTATTACTTATTGAATTATTTTATACCATTTTTATATTGTTGTTTACTTGCCTTGGATCCTGAGATACTCAGGAAAAAAGCAGATACAGAAATTTATTAAATAAATAAAATGTGCCACAAAGTAAACAGTCTAGTAAATTACCATAAGCTTATTTACAAGGCCTCAAGAAAAGAATAAAAAATGCTATCAAGGAAATCAGATATTCTTTCTTTGTACTGGTGAGGCATTTGAAAATTCTATTTAAACTCTGAATGGCATTAGTAACAGAAAGTACAGATATTCAGTGGACCATTTTAGAGGCTTCTCTTGAATGAAGATCATATTATAGTGTTAATGTAACTATTAATTGTTGTTTTAATGATATTGGACTGAGATTGTTGTGAACCGCCCTGAGCCTGTCTACGGGGAGGGCGGTATACAAATCAAATCAATCAATAAAATAAATATGTAATTCATAGCTGCTGGTTGTTGCAGAGTACTATATGGACTGCATACGTAAAGTCAAAAATAGCATTTCCTGTATAAGTATTCCGAACCATTTGTATTTACATAAAGTTGACTTTTTAAACTAAAGGAAATAAAATTCAGATGGTAATAACGTGATATAGAACTGTTCTTATTCTGAATTAGCTAGAAGCATTTCTGCATTGTACATGCTTTCTCTACTAACCCCTTTGATACTCCTGCTCTGTCGTTTACTATTTTTACTTCTTTAACACAGCCATACTGGGAAAAAAACTTCCTTAGGTCATTCTCATTAGTCTGGCAAAAACAAACAAACAAAAAGTTAATGATTACCTTACCAAATATTGCAGTGAAGATACAACTGTAACAGAACATTCACACCCTTCATTAAGCTTTGCTTAGAAAATCACAAGAGTATCTCCTGTAATCACACCACCCTCCAGCAATACCGGCTGCTTCCATTACTACAATATCTTATCCTTTGCGACTGAACTGTTACCGCATTCACATTCTCACAGAATATTTATACATGCGTTGTAATTTTTCATGCCTTTGCTCACAGCTTGTCCCACTGAGTGAGTGAGACTTACACTCAAGCAACTGAGTGGACTGAAGCCACAGAAGCAATTTAAAACTTCCAGCAGATCGTTCGTTATGAAGAAAGAAACACAACTGGTTTTTAGATAATGTGCTCTTGTCACAGCAGGCACCAGAGCAGAACTGTCCTCATCTAAGAAAGCACCCACCACTCGTGGATTGGTACTTGCATCAAAAACATCATTCTTATTGTTTTTAATTAGCTAATTTATATCCGACCCTTCTATTCCAAGGCTAGCTTACAATAAAATGTTAAGTTCAGCAGAGCTAAAATCAATCGTAACTATGAAAAACAAAACAAAGTTTGAGTCCAGTGCCATCTTTAAGACCAAAAAAATGTTTAATTCTGGGCATAAGCTTTTGTGTGCAGGCACATTTCTTCAGATCTAGGGTTGCCAGGTCTCCACAATGTGCAAGCGGGGGGTGGGTCTCCACAATGTGCCAGCCTCCGCCCCCAAACAGTGATGTCACATGGCGATGTCCCCGACATGATGATGTCTTGTGGAAGTGATGTCATCACATTGGGGATGTTGTGCAGCAAGGATCTGGTTTGAGGACACAACTCTATGGTAAAATGGGGGTCAAACCATAGAGTTTTGCCACCAAACCAGAGTGTTGCCGTGCGACATCCTAGTGTGATGACATCACTTCCACATGATGTCATTGCACTGGGGACATTGCCGCATAATCTTGCTGTTTGAAAGTGGGTTTCACCCCCGCTGGCCAGTGGCAGGCAGAAGCCCCCAAAAGCGGGGGATCCCCCACCCCCGCCTGCGGAATGGGAACCCTATTCAGATCTGTGCTCCAGACCAACACGGCTACCCACCTGATTCTAATAAAAAGAAATAACAACAAAAGTAGCAGATCTATAATGCAGCAAGTACAATATATGTCTAGGATAATTTAAAATAAAGTTTCCTTTTGGAGAAAAGAAGCAGCAAAAGACCACAATAATATTAATGTATTAATTCTGAAAAGCAACATGGGCAATAGAATCTAATAAAAAATACCATAAAAAATACAGATTTTTAAAAGTAAGCCATAAAATATGGAGATAATCACGCTTCCATAGATTAAGAGTTCCACAGTTTGGAAGTTACAGCTGAAAACTGCTTTATATGTATGTTTAAAACCTGCTTCACAGATAATTCAGACGCTCGCCTTTTTAATCAATTAAACAATATTAAATCAATTGATCTAAGTGACTAATCAGCTACTGACAATCCTTGAGGGAAAAAACCAAGTACCACTTCTCACAAACAGCGCTGCACATCTTTGGCTGCTGCCACACACGCTAAGTAATCCACTTTCAATCCACTTTCAGTGCACTTTCAAAGTGGATTTTGCCAGTTCACACAGTAAAACTCCACTTTGAAAGTGCACTGAAAGTGGATTGAAAGTGGATTACTTAGCGTGTGTGGCAGCAGCCTAAGATTTGTTTTTGTAGTGTTTTCGAGTCAGACTCAAAGCCAATGCCAGACACACTTTATCTTCAGGCACATACACGTTTCTAGATGCTACACACATGTGAAAATTCTCCCAAACACAGTAGTTGATTACTTCGCTGCTCAGCTACCAAGATTAGAGACTTACCTTAAAATCAATTCCTCCAACGAAGATGCGATTAGGAATAACTGTTCCAAACCTTGGGGCACTTGTGGGGTTACTTAAAGGCACTGGCGACACAGTGTTAGGAGAGGGAGACAAAGAATCCGTTTGCATCTGATTTGTGGTTTGCTGTTTAAGAGAACACAATTCTGCTTAACTATAGTTTCAACACTGACAGAAAACATTGTTATAGTAATACTGTGGATTCTCACAGAATTATGTGAAACATTAAAAGCCCAGTCCTCAGCCATTATTTGCGCTGACGGGGTGTAGTGGTTACTATCGAACAAGGATCTGGGAGACCCAAATTTGAATTCCAACTCTGCCATGGAAGCCTGCTGGGTGACCTTGGGCCAGTTACACACTCTCGGCCTAACCTACCCACAGGGCTGTTGTGAGGATGAAATGAAGGAAAGGCATACAATGTAAGCCACTTTGGGTCCCCATTAGGGAGGAAGGTCGACTCGTGTATAACTAAATAAAATATTTGAACTACCTATGTTTGCACATTTCGTTGTCTTCATCTGGGATGCCACATATGCAAAATCTGACAGTCCAGTCTAATTCTCTGAAAGTAAATTCCTCTGACATTCTTACTAATGATGGCATACTTACAGACTCCATACAAGTTTTAATGCACATGGAGTGCATATACCTAGTTTGGTGTAGTGGTTAAGTGCACTGACTCTTATCTGGGAGAACCAGGTTTGATTCTCCACTTCTCCACTCGCTCCTGCTGGATGACCTTGGGCAAGCCGTAGTTCTGACAAGAGCTGTCCTTGAAAGAGCAGTTCCTGAAAGAGCTCTCTCAGCCCCACCTACCTCATAGGGTGTCTGTTGTGGGGAGGGGAAGGGAAAGGTGTTTGTAAGCCGCTCTGAGTGGAGGGTATAAATCCAATCTTGTCCTCTTCTTCCTCCTTCTCATTATTGGGTCTAGCTATGTTGGAAGCATTAGCACTGTCTGACTGAATGTAATATTTGATATTATCTTAAATGATGACTTGCTACAAGACAAGCCCAAAGAAAATGACAACAGAACACCACTAGTTATCACATACAGCTCACAACTAAAAGCCAGTTCTACGTATTATTAATGACCTATAACAAATGCTGGATAGTGACACTTTCCTCACACAGGCACCCGGGGGGAAGGGGGGGCAATGTTTTCTTACTTAGCCTCCTAACCTAAAGCAACTTCTCATCCGCAATGACAAACTACTTAACAGTCACGTGGGCTCTGGCACCAAGGTCTGCAACAAACCAAGATGCCAACTTTGCTCTCATGTAGATCCTAGCAACACCATCACTGGACCCAGCAACATCAGCCAGACCATCTCAGGTTCATACTCCTGCTCATCTTCTAATGCGATTTATGCCACCACGTGCCAGCAATGCCCTTCCACTCTCTACGTTGGAGAAACAGGCCAGTACCTACAACAAAGAATTAATGGACACAAGTCTGACATTAGAAATTACAACGTTCAAAAACCAGTGAGGGGATGTTTTAACCTTCCAGGACGTTCAGTTGCTGACCTAAGAGCAGCAGTTCTCTTACAAAGGAATTTCAAAGGGAGATTAGAAAGAGGGACTACTGAATTGAAACCGATAATGAAGCTCAAGACATGCATCCTCCTGGAGTGAATCAAGACCTGGGTTTCCTGTCTCATTACCAATGCTGATTTTTCCATGCCTATGACTCCTCTGCATATCACACCTACTCCAATCACGCCTGCTGTTGTCATTCAGTATCTGTAATCACTCTGCTCTTCAATTATAATGACAGATGGACTCCCATTCTAGCGGTATCTGAAGAAGTGAGCACTGACTCATGAAAGCGCCTACCCTGCCACAAATTTTGTTAGCCTTTAAGGTACTACTGGACTCTTTCTCTTTTCTACTGCTACGGACAGATTAACATGGCTACCTATCTCGAGCTAAATGATGACTGTTATTCAAGAAAAAAAAAATCTGAAACATTCCCCCCCCCTATAGCCACATGATCAGAAACTGATTTCTAGCTCATTGCATTGCAGGGGGCACTGTAGATTAAAATGCTTTAAACATCAAAACTGGACTGAATCTTATGCCTCCTTGTCTCTACTATTCTATGGTGGTGGAAAGTGCTGTTAAATCACAGCTGACTTATGGCAATACCTGGTGGGGTTTTCAAGGCAAGAGATGGTCCCAGGTGGTTTTGCCACTGCTTGCCTCTGTGTCACGACCCTGGTATTCCTTGGATCCGAATGCCAGCCAAGGCAGACCTGCCTTAGCTTCCGAGGTCTGATGAGGTCGGGCTAGCCTAGGGCTATCCATGTCAGGCTACATCTAGAGATGTAGTTTTCAAAAACAGAATCATGACCTCACTATCCACTCAGTTATAAGCGTGGAACTAGCCAGATCTAGTGTACTCTCCTTCGATATGGCCCCGCAGCAAAAGCACTTTGTTCTTATTAATCTAAGCTTTCTACTACATCTAGCTCAGACTTGTGTCCCCTATGGGTTATGACTGATCTAGCTATACTGATCCATGCTACGGTAATATGGAGGCTAGATTACTATAGATTACTACAGATTACTATACTGCACTGTGCACTCTCTGTGAGGCTGTCTTTGAAGTACAGAATGTAGCTGCATGGCTGGTGAAAAGAGCTACCAAATTCAGCCAGATTCCTGAGATTTTGAAACACCTACATTGGCTGCTACTCTGATTCTGAGCTGGATTCAAAGTACTGGCTATAAGCATTTAGGCTCTTAACAGGCTGGGGCTGTTAGAGTGAGCGACTCAGGATGTCTGGACATTGGGAGGAGTGCTACTTCACTCTAAGGGTGCATATCTCCTTGAATGGGATGCCTTCCCCTCCCCTTAGCCTGGGAGCTGCCCTCTGACCCCTCCTCTCTCGCTCACTTTGTCCTCTCCCTCTCTGCACATGGCCTTCCATGGAGACACATGCCTTTGGGGGTCTCTCCTGTGGATACAGTGCCCTCATCCTCCCACACGCATGATGCCGGACAAGCTGGTCCTTTGTGATAGGGAAAGTACTCTTTAGATTAGGCTTTTCTCTCTTCTTTTGACTGCAACCTGAATGTGAACTGGATCTACTTGAATAAATGTAAGTTTATCTTTTTTGCAATATACTCCTTGGGAGCTTTATTTACTGCACTCAGTATCATGCTTCTATGACTGGGAAAACCCTGCTATATTAACCAAACATCCCTATTAGGGGGCTACAAACTTGCTGGATGGCCTTTCCCAGTGAAAGCACAGCTCTGGTCTCAACACGGGCTGCTTACAGCCCTAATGTTGATGTGGTGAGTTAGGACGGTCTCATCTCATACTTGGGCTTTTCAAGTGGCAGCTTCAGTCCTTTGGAATGAACCACCTAGAGAAATCAGGCTCTTCAGAAGAAATACGTAAGTCTGAATTATTCAAACTACTGCAGACTGACATGTTGTTGTATTGTTTAAAAGTGTTGCTGTTGGCTTTAATGTTTATGGTTTTATCTGAATACATACAAATCACTAGGAGTGACTATCCGAAAAGAGGGATACAAATATTTCGAATAAATCAATAATCCCCTCCAATACCATTTCTGTAGAGTGGTGCAGTCATGGTTTCTAAGGAACACAGGTCGTCCTAGAAAAGAGTCCAATGGCACCTTAAAGATTAACCAAATTTGCGGCAGGGTATGAGCTTTCGTGAGTCAGTGTCTCACAAAAAAAGAAAATGAAAATAGAACACCACCAGTGGTCACAGAGGACAGCGGAAGACAGGAGGGCCTGGCGTGATCTGGTCCATGGGGTTGCGAAAAGTCGGACTCGACTGTGCGACTGAACAACAAGTGGTCACATATAGCTCATGAAAGCTGATCCCCTGCCACAAATCTGGTTCGGCTTTAAGGTGCTACTGAACTCCTGTCCTCTTCTGCTGCTACAGACAGACTAACATGGCTGGCTACCCATCTTGATCTATCTCCACAGGCAGTCCTGGCTCAATAAGGTTACTAATGAGGGATGTACTGGGTTTTGCCACAGGAGAACCAACAAATCTTTACCGTAGTTTCTGCTGTTAATATCCCCAAATCAGCTTCAACAGGGGGCATTCTCCCAGTAAATCTACTCCAAATGAGCAGTCAGACGCAGAGCACAGCTCCTTCTTCTGCATGCTCACCCTGCTTTGTGTGTACTACATGGAAAATACATGAATGTGTGCAAAGAGACTGAGGATTTAATAGCCCAGCTGCTTCCCAGCACTGAGATGCCCAGAAAAACAAATGGCCCTGTGCATATTTTGGCTGTGATTAATTTTGGCTGTCAATTTAACACTGGCAATGAAGTGCTGCAGAATCACAATGTTTTTCTCTGCAACTGACTTTGATGCATTCTTCCCAAATTATTTAAGCTATTATATTCTAACAATACTTCTACATCTAGCTCAGACTTGTGTCCCCTACATGGAAAATACATGAATATGTGCAAAGAGACTGAAGATTTAAGTAATAGCCCAGCTGCTTCCCAGCATTGAGATGCCCAGAAAAACAAATGGCCCTGAGTATTTTGGCTGTGATTAATTTTGGCTGTCAATTTAACACTGGCGATGAAGTGCCACAGATTCACAATGTTTTTCTCTGCAACTGGCTTTGATGCATTCTTCCCAAATTATTTAAGCTATTATGTTCTAACGATACTTAAAAGCACACCCTTCAGTTCAGAAAGATTCATTATTCTGTGTACGAAACTCTGCAATGATACCTGTATAAAACATTCTCTAGTTTAATTTTTTAACTTCCAGGCAGAGTCTGAAATTGTACATTTCAAAAATATTTCCACTGTATAAACTGGAAATTGGGTGAAAGAACTCAGTGTTTCAAGTAGCAGCAAGGTTCATCCAGTCTGACTCTGCAGAAATCCGATACAGTATAGTTTATGCGGGCTCTGGACAGGAGCACGAAATCTGAACCAAATTCTGTCGAGAAAGGCAGCCAGTGGGGTATAGCGGTTAAGAGTGTTGGAAACCACTTGAGCCACCGCAGCTCAATCCCCACTTGTGCCACAGAAGCTTGCTGAGTGAACTTAGGCCAATCACACTGTCAGCTGAACCTACCTCACAGGGTTGTTGTGAGGATAAAATG